GCTGAAAAGCTTAATAACAAACATTAATATTGGGAACACCTCCACTTTGATGTCGAACAGAGAAGCTCATTATTAGAACCTCAAATATTCTCAAACAAGAAAACAAAAGAAGGTGAATTTTATCTTCATTGATAACCTCGCTAGGCAGTAACAGAAGTCTCTTCAAAGTTCCAGTTTAAATAGGTCTTAGATGGCTGCTAAAGAGGAAATGTGGGTACAAAATAAGTTTTAAGAATTTCAAGAAATACTGTTTCTATTACACTTGCTAACTAAAATGCCATTGAAAAATACACACCATGAACTTAGTATTCTTGTGACACCTGTTAATTGAGCCAAGTCTAGTACATAATTGGTGCCCAATGATACTGGTGAGATACTGTCTATTCTTAAATGTCTGAATTTAAGATAATTGTGTTTATTATTTGAACCCATTTCTAAATTGCATTACTAAATATAGTATACAATGTTCCTTATACTTAAAATTGTATTTTATAATTACAAGTATATCAGGAAATACAAGTCTTAATTTTTAAGCTGAATCAGAATTTTCCTTGATAAACAGGTTAGACTGATATACTACATATTTGTTATATATTTATCTAATCATTAACAATAACCACCTAAGACTGAATAATCTTTCATTCAATTGTACATACACTAAGGTATGTGTATTTAATGATTATAAACAGAAAAGAAAATGTAGAGTGTGTGTGTGTGTGTGTGTGTGTGTGTGTGTGTGTGTGTGTGTTTTACTGTGTTCCCAGGTTTCTTGATTAGTATGCATTGCTCAGAAATGTATCTCTTGCAAAGTTTTGCTCCCTGGAATGAATCAAGCCATGCCTAGCATGCTATAATCCATTTTATCAGCTTCCTGTAGACAGGTTTAGTATGTAATTCTTGTGCTTTCCTCCTTCCCATATGTCTTTTGAACCACAAGGTTCCCAGTAGTGGAATTTACCTTTCTCTTCTGCTGCAAACCCTTAGGGTAGGTGAAAAATTGGTTATTTTCCATTTGCCTGATTGAAAGGGCTATGAATTCAAATCAATTCCTAGTTTAAATTGGCTTTTCATTTATGGAATCCTGCCTTGCAGATTTGTTCTGGGTGATGGCTGAGATTTTTCATTGCTAAGTGCTTTGCCTTTCTTCAGAGTAAAAGCACTATCAAAGTGCAAAATATTACAATTAATATTAAAATGAGAGTCTACTGGGTTTAAAAGGACTCTTTAAAAAAGAAGCACAAAGAACTGCAAAAGAAAAGCAGCATGTGGCTTCTTTGTATTTTATAGATATGATTTTCCGCAAAGTGGACATGTTTTTTTTTTTCAATATATGTGATTTTTAGAAGAGAAACCTAAAAATACTGCATATGCAAACTGATATGATATTAAGAATTCTGAAATATTAAAAGGAACACTATAGTTAAGAGATTTTTCATATGACACATTTTAAATTTAAAGTGATGCAGAAATTTCTCTTTGCCCTCCTTTACAGCTTTTATAACTGATCATACATATACTTGACTATTACTATTACATTAACAGGTTTGTATAGTAATAAGTGTCTTATTGTTTCTAAACTGCTGTGCTTATACAAAATGAGGCAGTGAGAAAAATACCAACATAACACCACGGTTTCATAATGCTCTAGAGATTGTAAAAATGGTGCTTCTCTAATTCTGAGTTCTCTTTTGTTCAATATTAAAATATAGTCCTACTTGATGAATATAAAATAAATGCTTTGGATAATTTAGTGCTTATATAATAACATTATTTTTATTCAATCTATGTGTATAGATTTGGAATATGGTCAACATGTACAATAATAATGTTTCTTTGAAATAATACAGGAATAAACCATGTCCACTACAACATGGTTTTCTAAAGAAATCACAATTCATGTATTTATCATATAAATATTATTAAATTTTATCTTAAAGTATGTTTTAATGTGCATCTCTCTTTCCTTATCTATTTACATATCTTCTAATTGTGTGTAAATAACTAATGACATTATATTTAGCTATTCCTTCAATCAACATTTACCTATGAATCTAACAAGCAATTATAACTTTTCATAGTGAAAAAAGTCAAATAAAACAACAAGTACTTTAATATATATTTTAGTGGGATATTTTAAATTTCAATTGATTTAAAATATATTTATAAGCACTATATTAAATATTTAAAATTAGAAATCTTTAATGAAATTCTATTTATTATTTAATACTAGATGCCTAGTGCATGAAATCGTGCATGGTAGGGTCCCTAGTCCTGGCCCCTAATCAGGGCGATCAGGGCCCTCTGGCTGCCGGCCAGATCTTCCTTTGTTTGTGCCACCCCCTGGTGGTCAGCACACATCATAGTGAGTGATTGAATTCCTAGTCAAACTCCCAAGGGGACACTTTGCATATTAGCCTTTTATATATTTAGATAGTGTGAATATTATCATTTTACAAAAAAACTCCAAAAACACAATAGTTTTGGAGTACATTTATTATCTACAATATATAATTATATAAATTCACAGAAAATTAGTGCAAGACAAGGATTTGAAACTGGACGTGTTTCCTCTTCCTGGATTGAATATATATGAGGTTATTGAGATGAGTCTGCAGAAACAGATTTTCAACATGGAAATTCAACTTAAAATATTGTTAAAACATTTAACAGGTGAAGGAAACCACCAGATGCCATTAAACTCACCTTACATGTTTTAAGAGAAATAAATACTGCTAAGAAAAAAGAAGAAAAGCTTTTCATAGCTATAAGTGCTAAAAGTAAAAATAATTGTATAACCTAGTCTTCAGGGTTTTGTTTAGCTAGACTCTAATAAGTAAACATGTTTGTTTTTACTGAGTTCACCCTCTCAGCTCTCACTGTTGTATGACTGGATGACAATCAGAGTTCACTGTTCATCCACATTTATTTGAGACAAAGACAGGAGAGAAGGAAGGTCATTTCCAATGAGATAATTAGGTTTTACAATAGTTTTATCTTTTTACTGTTCAGCTGCAGAAACATTTCTAAAAGTACATCTCCCTCATATCAATGAACATTGTTTATCTACAAGAAAAAAAATATTAAAACTCATCTATAATAATAAAAGCGTAATTTGCTAATTAGACTGGACAGCCTAACAACCTTCTGGACGTCCTTCTGGATGACCTTCTGGATGAAGCCACAGCTGCAAGGGCTGAGGAAGCTGCCATGGCTGCAAGGAACAAGGCAAGCCACCGTAGCTGTGAGGGCCAAGCCCTTTGCATGAATTCCATGCATCAGGCCTCTAATATATATATACAGGTTAAATTAAATCAGAGTAAAATTAACTACTACATACTGTTTTCTGGCCGTTTAAAAATGAATTTTATCACCTTTAAGGCAATTAGCTATTTATTTAGTAAAAATTATTTACAAATGTTATTATTTTGAAAATGTTATATATATACCACTGGCTCCTGAAGGCTCACCTGCCTGCCTGATTGATCGCCCCTAATTGCCTCTGCCTGCCTGCTTGATTGATTGTCCCTAACTGCCCTCTCCTGCTGTCCTGATCACCTCTAACTGCCCTCCCCTATGGGCCTGATCTTGCCCCCAACTGCCCTCCACTGCCAGCCTGTTTGCCCCTAAGTGCCTCTGCCTTGGCCCCCAGCACCATGGCTTTGTCTGGAAGGAAGTTGGACATCCAGAAGATGGCCAGTTGATCCAATCTAATTAGCATATTACCCTTTTATTAGTATAGATAGATTATATAGGATAGGCTTGCTTAAATGGGTGGGGGGATGCTTTTTTCAGCAGGCGCAGATGGTCTTGGCAGACAAAAATACATAATCCCTATATCTGGACTGATAGCCAGCCATATGCACTATACCGCCAAACGATTATTAAAAAATTGAACTGCTTTCTTGCACCTTACACCAAATAGCTGTTGCCATTAAAACCCCTCCTCAAGCCCCACCTTAGGTTCTGTCTTTGCAGTTTACCCAGATTAGGTTCTGATTGGTTGATTTCTATGTCAGAGTCAAAAACCCTGCCTCCTAGGCAGCCATTGGCTCTTCGCAGTTCACCCAGATTTGATTCTGATTGGTCAGTTTCTATGCCTGTCAGCATCAAAAGCTTCACCTTCCAGGCAGCCATTGGCTCCTTGCAGTTCACCCAGATTTGCTTCTGATTGGTTGGTTTCTATGCCAGTCAGCATCTCCAGGCCTATTTCTGGGCCTGATTAGAGAGACAGGGCTGCTGGCGAGGCCTGGAGAAACAGAGAGAGGCAAGGGCTGATCAACAGCTGCCATGGAGGCTGCAGATCAGACGCTGCTTCTCTCTCCGAGCCTCTCTCTGGGCCTGATCCGCAGCCCCCTTGGCAGTCAGTGTTCAGTCGCCGTGGACTGAATTCCAGTGTTCAGTCTTCCGTTCAGTTGTTTTGGATGTTATGGATCCTATATAATAAAACCCTAATATGCAAATTGTCCCCTCAGGCAGTCGTTCAGCTGGGAGTTTGGCCGCTCGCTATGACATGCGCTGACCACCAGGGGGTGGTGTGGAACATGGCAGGTGTCGGTGACACAGTGCTGGCAGTGGGCGGCAGTGGAGGCACTGCCGGCCCCGATGGGCTCTAATAAGAGTAGGACTGCGAACGGATGGTGGAGCAGGTGAGCGGGCAGCAACAGGCCAGGTTGGTGCGAGCAGGGGCCCAATCGCCCCTCTGACCACCCTGCAGACATTGACCAGCAGCAGTGGCAAGGAGGGTGGGGCCATCACCTGACTCTCAGGCGCTGAGGGAGCCGGGCAGGGGGCCCCACCCCGATCAATCGCCCTGCAGGCAGGATGGTGGAGTATGTGAGGGGGCAGTGCCAGGCAGGGCTATGAGGCTGGTGGCACAAGCTGGGGCTGCAAGGCTGGGGGCGCGAGCTCGGGCCCAATCTCCACAGGCCACCCCAAGGGACCCCACCCATGCACGAATTCGTGCACCGGGCCTCTAATAGACACTATATTGGCTACTAAATTTGGAAGGTAGTAATATTGTACGTAAAAAAACATTCTCCTTAAGGTATCAGAATTCATGTGTATTCAGATCAAGTGGTTTTGAAAACTCACCATATATGATGGAACCAGCCCACACCACTACTAATGCTGTTCACCAAGGACCTAGGAATAAAGCACATCGGACCCAAGGTTACCCAACACCTCGCCATTTCCACACCCAGACCCAAGATTTACAGCAGTCAGTAAGGTATTTTTGCTTTCCCCTTTTCTAGAATTGAAATAGAAATGAATAGTGTTGCCCTATCCAGTTTGGTTCAGTGGATAGAGTATCAACCTGTGGACTAAAGGGTCAAGGGCCCATGCCCAGGTTTCCAGCTCGATCTCCAGTGGAGAGCATGCAGGAGGCAGCCAATCAGTGATTCTTTCTCATCATTGATGTTTCTCTCTCTCCCTCTTCCTTCCTCTCTCAAATTAATAAAAATATTTTTTTAAAAAAAGAAGTGAATAGTATTATAAATTAGTGCAAACATATCTATATCTATATATATATCTATATATATATAGATATAGATATATATACTAATAAAAGACAACGCTAATTGACCATACCTTTGCTATGCCCTAAGCCATGCCCACCAGCCAATCAGAGTGACTATATGCAAATTAACCCAACCAACATGGCGGCCGGCAGCCACAGAGCTGGAGCAAACAGGAGACTTGGTTGCAAAAAAGCAGAACAACTGGGAATGACTGGTCACTGTGACACACACTGACCACTAGGGGGAAGATGCTCAGTACAGGAGCTGTTCCCTGGTGGTCAGTGCATTCCCACAGGGGGAGCTCTGTTCAGCCACAAGCCAGGCTGATGGCTGCCAGTACAGAGGTGGTGGTGGGAACCTCTCCCACCTCCTCAGCAGCACTAAGGATATTTGATTGCAGCTTAGGCCTGCTCCCCGCGGGCAAGTGGATATCCCCCGAGGGCTTCTGGGCTGCCAAAGGGATGTCTGACTGCCAGCGTAAGCCCAATCCCCCAGGGAGCGGGCGTAAGCCAGCAGGTGGTCATCCCCCGAGGGGTCCCAGACTGGGAGAGGGCACAGGCCAGGCTGAGGGACTCCCCTGAGTGCACCGGGCCTCTAATATATAAATAAATATATATGATTTCAAATATATAATAAATATTTAAATTTTAGTTATAAAAAGACAAATTGAACAATCTATCCCTTTGAGCATTATGTATTCACTACTTTCTGTTCATGTTTTAATATCCAAAATGTGTTGTTTAAGTCAATGTCAACACTGGTTGCTTAAACAGTATGCAGTAAACCTTTTAAACAACTGTATAAACTATTAACATGTTGTGTATGTATGTATTTATCTACATCTACTTACATAATAACTGACACACAAACTTTCTGTTCTGGCAATGTTATCCATGGTATAGGAAAGGGAATAGAAAACCAAAACATGTTTCAGTATTGTAGCTTATAAACATTAGTTACAGTGAATGAATAGAGGCTATTTGTCACAAAATCTCTAATGTTTTTCTCTTGTAAATTTGCCAGATGTTAAGACATATCATTTGGAAGGTTTGAAATTAGTTATTCAAGTCATTTCTCTGTCATCATATTCTCTGGTATGATATAAAGGTATAGTTGATAAAAACAAGAGGCTATCTCATTCTGATTATAAATTTAGTACCCTTGCTTAGATATGTAGAAGGAAGAATTTTAAAAAGCCATGCATGCTCTAGAGAATTTATTTAGACATTATTCTTGAAGCACATATAATATTTATCAACTTAGTAAGTAATAACCATTTATCATAGACACTGTAATCTCTTTTTTATTGCTGACACTATTACAGATGTCCTCATTTCTCCCTCTTTACCCACCTCCACCAAGCCTCTGCCCCACCCTCCCTCTGATATCTGTCAATCGTTCCATTTATCCATGCCTATTTTGTTCATCAGTTAATTTTGTTCATTAGGTTCTACATATAAGAGAGATCATATGGTATTTGTCTTTCTCTGAATGGCTATAATCTCTTAAACTCACCTCTGTTGTACAGAAAATCGATTATGATAAGTGAAGAAAAAATAATAGAAATATTTATTTGTATCATTTTTAAATAGTTTAGTACATCTTTAAATTATGTATGCATATAAAATTAGATGGAGATTTTGAAATAACTCATCCTGTCTATGTAATTCATTTTTTATTTTAAATTTCTATCAATTGGTTAGCATACAGGTAAAATTGTTATGCAAATTAAAATGAGTCCTTAGTTATCCTTTTTTTTAAATTCTCACCCAAGAATATTTTCCATTTATTTTTAGAGAGAGTGGAAGAGAGAGGGAAAGACAGAGAGCAACACCAATGTGAGAGAAAGACATGGATTGGTTGCCTCCTGCATATACCCACTCCAGGGCTAGGCGGAGGAAGAGCCTGCAACTGAGGTACATGCCCTTGACTGGAATTGAACCCTTGACCCTTTAGTCAGCAGGCTGATGCTCTATGCAATAAGCCAAACTTCTTCTTCACATGTCAATTCACTTAAATGTATATATCTTCTAGCTTCTCTCCTCTTACATATGAGTTTAAGACAGGGGTAACTAACCTGGATTTACCTGATTCATTCATTTTCTCAAGTGAATACAGTATTGGACAATTCTTCAATGAATGAGAAATGCAGCAGATGTCAAACTTGGCGTACTGAAGATGTATGATCATATTAAAATATGGGCGATTGAAAATAAATGCTCAAGTTACTCATCCTTGAAAAGCACTTGGCAAGCAATCACTAACTCCATCTACATTAACATAATTCCAGATATGACCTCCTAAACATACTTCAAATTCACTACAAGATAAGATCATAAACTTAATGAGCACTTAAAAATTAAGGTTAAGTTGAAGACAACTATTCTCATCTAGTCTATAGATAATAGTTTGTGGGTACAAATAAGTGTTGAAAGCTATTAAAATTTGCAGCACATTTTGGGGCTATAATGGTGAATAAGAAAAAATGAAATGCTGTATTTTAACACTAACCTCTCTGCTGGCCTGGTTACACCACGCAGCCTGCTGTTCCATTGTTTGGTCCTCACTAACCCCCTGGCCAGCCTCACAAGATGGTAGACAGCCATCTTGTGAGGGTGTGAGGGTTAATTTGCATATTACCTCTTTATTATATAGGATAGTATTTGAAAACATATTACAAGAAAAATGTATTTAATTTGGGATTTAGCATTAACACACTTTGAAATTTTACAATCTTAAATGGTTATTTTAAAAGATTAACTTCTGCATTAAACACAGTTAATAAAAATATAGATGATTTTATTATTTTAATAAACAATTTGTATTTTCCAGGGATTCTGAAATTTGTATTTATATGAGTGTATTTGTGTGGAAACTTGGCTAAAATTTTTGAAAGCACATGTTTTATTTGTCACTGTTATAATTCTGGTGAAATTGTCAAAGCCAGACCTTGACAAGAACTCCAAGAATTGGGCTTCCTTTGAATATCTACTAGATTTCATGCAGCTAACCTGAAATAGGTTATAAATATCGTCCTTTCATTGTGTGCTTATTCTTGAGCTGGGATGAATATTTCTGTGGTTCTAACAGTAACATAGAATTACTTGGTTTGTGTTCACAATCTGGAAATTCTAAAATAGCTCTGTGGACAGAGATACCCATTTTACTAGCACTATTCTAAATATATTTGTATAACCTTGGATATTAATAAGAAATTTAATTGTTCTTTATCAATTCTAATCTTTGGAGAAGTAGTAAGTATAATTGATTCTGAAACTACAATTGACAAAGATTTCAGAGTCTTCTGAACTTTCATTAACTAAAGTATTTCTGTTGCTTTTAATGACCAGGAGATCAACATCTGGGATTATAGCTTCCTTTAAAATTTCTAAGAGGCTACCCTATGCTTCTGAGAATAGCACTTCCAATTCTAATTTTCACACTCTGGCAAGCAGACATGAACAGATACTGTATGGGAATCATACAATACATTCAGTATTGCCAGTAGGTGTGGGCAGTCATTTCTCAACCTCTTCCTAAACATCTTCTGCATGAACAAAATCTAAAGAACTGGGCTCTGAAACAATATCAGAGAAATTATTTGAACCTGTTTTCATTTCATCAGACACTGTTAACAACTATTATATCAGTGAACTCTAAGGATTGCACCCTCCTATCAATTTTATCATATAGTAACATAAGTAATTCTCAAAACACTTGAAGATCATCAAGATTATAAACTTTAAGTTGAAGATTCTTAGAAATCTTCCAGAGCAAATAGTCTTTAAAAGGTAGACAGGTTCCACTCAAAACACAGAGAACAAGATCTAGACAGCCACATACTGTCACACTTTACACGCATGCATGTGCATTTTTCCCTAGTTCAGTGCTCATCAAACTGCGGCTTGTGAGCCACATGCAGCTCTTTGGTCCCTTGAGTGTGGCCACGAAGTTTCAATCGCACTGTATGTGCGCTCCCGCACATGGTATTTTGTGGAAGAGCCACACTCAAGGGGCCGCAGTTTGCTGACCACTGCCCTAGTTCATTCCTATTTTGTTACTTTAAGGTGTTAGACACTAAAGAGACATCTGTTACCTATAAGTTCCACATTCTTAAATTTTCTTTCTGTCTTCTTATTCACTTCCTGGCATGAATCAATAACTAGTTGCAAGTTCTTCATGATTTGGCCCAAGTAAATGATGAAACTCACTTGGGTCTATGCAGTTTCCTGTCAGAGCCACCCAGCTACCTTTGATACTAGTTTCTTTTAGTAATCAGTTGATTTCCTAGAAATTTGGCTCAACCAATAAGTTATTATTTATATGGAAACAACATAATAAGCCAGATATCTAGGAAGCTAAATGCTATTAACTCAAGGAAAATTCTACATTGCTTTTGTTCTTTCCTTAAGACTTTTCAAATTATGCATTATAAGGCCTCACGGTAGGAAGGATATGAAATGCCAGAGTTTAGATAATAGTAAGAGAAATAGGTAAAGCTACCAAGGCCACAGAACTCCCTGCCCAAAGGGTTCATTAAATGGAGCATTCGTTAGTTTATAGTAACCTATCTAGATATAATGTTGGCTTCTCAAGGTCTTTAGTGTATGTGGATGTAAGCACAATATTCTAAGAAGATCTAAGAAGCACACAGATATAATAAATGTATATATTTTAGATAATAATGTCATGTTTCTGAGGGTTCTTCAGGTTGGAACTGAGGTCTGTTCTCTTGGCTTAATTTATACACTCTTGAGCCTTGACTTAAGAACTGATTCAGAAGCTCTGTTCATGATCCTTGTCTTAGTATTTTCTGTGTTGTAGGGTTCAAGTGTGGGGTTTTTAAAATCTTAAGTGCTCCTGTGGGGCTCATGTCCTCCTCTCCAATGATCCAACAAGTGACCCTTTGTTGGGGGCCAGATGTAAGCTGGCAAGGTCCTTGCACCTGAAGGGGCTAGCAAGGCTGGGACCCTTACCCACATGGTTTTCCCAGACTTGTTTGGATGGCGGTTATCAGTAGAATAAGAGCAACCTTTGTAGAATGAGAACAGCCTTTCATGGCTTACCAAGAAGTCTGTAACTATTTACTGAGATATGCTGTACTGAGAACTTGTCCTTCTGCTGTGTCCCTCCCTTAGAGATTAAGAGGGACAAATAATATATTCCTCTTGACAGACCTCCTATTCAGTGTCTTGTGTATATAAGGCTTTATGTACTTAATAAATTTGCTGTAGTTCCTCGGATGAGCTGCAGTCCTCCCTATCCTGCTTTCCTGTCTTTCTTTCTTTTCTCAATTCCCACCTCCCTGCCTCAGCCCGGCTCAACCTATCAGGCTGGCCCTGACAAACCTTCAAGAAAAAGAATAGGGAAATCTAATTTTTATACAGATTGAACTAAACAGCCTCAAATACTTATTATGTGATCACAGCACTTCATAAGAAATAAAAAAATGGATTGACCACTTCTCCAGATGTTGATGTTTTAACAGTTAGCTTAAGCCAAAGAATAACAAGAAAAAGTGATGCTGAAAATAAAATCCTTCTATATCTACACAATTTAAGGTCTTAATCAATAAAATCTAATATTATATTATTCACATTAACATGACTATATAATTCTAAAAACACTTCCTCAGGAATATGAAATTGTATATAACTGTTACTATTTGTTTCAAAAACTTTCAGGAAGTACTTGATCACTAAATATAAATAGCTCTATTAAGCTTAATAATTCTATAAAACTTGCCTCTAAGCCCTGGCCTTGACTCTTGACCCTCTGTGTACATCAAACTTTAATTATATCATGCATACTCTGCAGACCTAATTAAGTGCTCAAACTGAAAGTCTTGCCTTAAATCAGACTCCCCAATCAACCTCTAATAAATTCCATCTATGATTATCCTGAGATGCTACTAAAACCCTGTCAAGAAATGATCTGCACCATTGTGGTAAAGAATAAACTCCATTTTGCTTTACCAACAGAATGTTCTGGGCGGGGGAGTTGTCATTCGAATGCTTCGCTGGGAGAAAAGTAGAGGCAATGAAACCAATTAAGACTCTATCAGAAGTTTGCCTGGACAAATTTGGGACAAGGTTGAGTAAATGGTATACAGGTCAAACTTTTACTTGATCAAAAATTGCACATTTATTAAAAGAGAAATGTCTTTTCAAAACAGTAATTTAGAATATATCGTGCATCTATATAAGTGCCTGACAGAATAATCTAGAGGGGGAGAATCATTTGATGAACAGCCTATGCTAATTATATTACATTATCACTACTCACTTCTTTCTATATTTAAAAGCAAAAATGATAGAGTATTTCATGGTTGCATTAATAAAATACTTTGAAAGTATGCATATATTCTGTGTAATTCTTCACCTTCATTCCCAGAGCAATAAAATTTACAAGGATAAATGGTCCATCCAAATCAAATGAAGTATCATTTACAAATTTTCTTTTGCATTATATATTAAAAAACAGCACTTGTGGAGACAGACATACCTTTGATTAAGCTTCTGGGAAACTTAAAATGAAGTACTCTATATCGCACATAGAATTTTCAATAAAAAAGCATAAGTAAACTCAGTGTGTCTGAAATTTTAGAAGACATATATTTTACTATGCCTTTCAGGCTTGCAGCCTTATGTTAAATATATGATCATTTCCATTTTTTATTTGAATAGATCATATAATTTGTAAAAATTCACCATGATTTACACTTGATTTTTTATTTTTATGTGTTATGGTGCCAAGCAAATAATAAAAGAAAATGTTAGCAACAGATTCTCTATGAATACGAAAAACAGAAGCTTTGTTCTTATTTTGCAAATTAACTGGATTTTTTTGAGAGTCTTTTATGTAACAATAAGAGGTATACCTTATACTAGAAATTTTTGCTTGGCTTATTATGTATCTTAGTTGTCTTAGCAAGGTGAAAGAGCAAGAAAAGCAGATGGAAAACAGCAGGTAAACACTTTTTGATGTGAAAAAGTCATTCATGATGATGACACTATTACTGTTCAAGATGAAAACAATGAAATGTGAATAAGCAACAGAAGTACAATAAATCAAAGTAAATGAATATTAGCTTTGTCTGAAAAATAAAAATAGTGTTAGTGTATTTTATTCAGATATAACTACTCTCTTAAATGTAAAATAGAACCTTATAACCTCCTTAAAATAGTTACATGCTTCCTTATTAATAGAAACTTCCCCATTTCCATCTTAAAGATGAAAGCAAGTATGAAAAGAATTCCACTCAAAAAACAGTATCACACTTCAAAAGTTTTAGAATGATTGCATTGCAAAAGCTATCGAACTGTATTATTCTTAACCCAAAAGCAGTGTCAACACTGAGATATATATAAAAAAATTCTTACAGTACTCCTAACCAAGATATTTATCATGCTTTCACTACATTCATTTGGATATGTAACTAGCATTTTTATTTTTCTAGCCTCAGATCACTGCTATTTCCTCTTATCTTTCCTTAGTAAATGCAGAACTTCTGTTCACTATCTTGATGTCATGTTTCTTAATGTTCTTTGTGACTCAAAGGGCGGTACTTCACGTACTTTTGCCTAACATATTTCATTCTGCTCTCCAGCCTTTTAAGTACATCTGTATCTATTACCTGATGTTAAATTCTTAACAATGTCAGAACACAGAATTATACATAAAGCCATCGTCAGGGTTCACCCTTTGTTGAGTACAAGCAAAATGCTCTTATTTATTCTGCTAAATGACCCATTGCATTTCAATATATTTATTTTTATCAAAATATTACATGCTTGGCTCATTAAATATTTTGAATCTTTTGTCTCTACTTCTTAAGCAGATGTGACAAATTCTCTCTACCCAGCATGTTAAGATACAATGTGAAGGCAAAATGGCAGTGCCAAACAAAGACAAATCAAACACACACACAAAAATACCCTCCCCTTTCTTAAAAAACAAAAAACAAAAAACAAAAAACAAAACCGAACACCATAGAGATGGTTAAGCATGGCTAGCAGAAACTTTTATTTGTGGGAGGTGAGTGGTAGTATCAAGCAGACATGACCAGATGGTTTAACAGGATATATTTATCTCTACAGTCAGAGGGAGCCATTAAAAATATGTTTCCTTGATTATGCTTAGTGATAGAGTTCAGGGGACTCTGAGAAAGAAAGAAGCTTGACAAAAATCGGGACCAGCCAAATAACAGTCAATTCTGAGTGTATGTTGAACAGAAATCACTGCTTCAATTTAAGCCCAGTAATTATGGAAACGATATAAGAAGTTAAGATATGAGAATTTTCAAGATAGTTAAGTTAGACTTCACAAAATTAAACCACAGCTGTATATATAGATGCCAGCTACCTATATGTATTATTTATGGTACATGACAATAGCTCATGTGCTCTATACTATTTTATTTTTTGTGTATTTTATTTCAGTCTTAGCTCAGGCTGCTGTATAATAAAATGTCATAACCTGGGGGGCTTAAATGATAAACCTTTCTCACGGTGCTGGAAGCTGGAATTCTTAGATCAGGGTACAGCATAGTGGGGTTCTTGTGAGGACCCTCTTTCAGGTTGCCATCTACCCGCGTCTCATTGTGTTCTCACAGGGTGAAAAGAGAGCGAGCTCTGGTCTCTACATTGCCTTATCCTGCTCATGAGGGCTCCACATTCATGACCTAATTACCTCCCAAAGCCCTACTTCCAAACACCATCACAATCTCTAAACAATCAGACCACAATATAACATATTATAGTATTTGTTAGACTATCTGTTTAAAATGAAACATCAGCACAGAAATTGGAGAAGATGCAAACACATAGAGTTCTTACTAAGCTCTTTTTCACACACTAACTCTATTTAGAAAAAGCACGCACACTGAAAAATCAACTGCATTCTAACTTAATAAAATAAAATATAAATAAGTTTCAGATTAAGGGGGCATCTTAGCAAAAACAAATGGCCTAGCCTCACTCTGGTGAATACTAAGACACACATCTTGACTAGAAGTCTTTTACTTTGGGATAGAATGATGTATGATGCTTAAAAGGTAAGAACATATTCTGCTCTGATAAAATTACAGATCTATAAGTTTACAACTGCTATAATAATGGACTTTCCTATCTACTTCAGAACACATGTTGAACAGAAATCACTGCTTAAATTCAGTGGAAACTTATAGTTTTAAATTTTAGATACTAAATACTTTTTGATCCATATGGTTAACTATCATTACGTGCTTGCTGCATATTAAATTCCAGAGGCTTAAGGAGATATTACTAGAACATCATAGCTTTGAAAGTATGGTGAAATGCTCCTTGAACAAACATAGTTTCTTTCAATTTATCAAGAAATGTTTGTAGTATTACTGAAGGTGGCTCATTTTTAAAGAAGTATGTACTTGCTGGGTTAATTTCAGTGTGCTAAAGGTAAATTGATCATGATTTATAAAAATAAAGTAGACAAGAGCTATCATATTTCTACATCAGCCATTTCTCCAAAGGCATATGAAATATTCCAATGTATTTGAGAGTTGTTGAAATTGTTTTATTGAAAACCCAGACATTCCCAGTATTTTCTGCTTTCTTTATTGTAATCTTGCTAAAAGAGAAAAATAAAGAGGTAATAAGACATATATCAAGATTATTCTGTAATTGATTAATTCATTTGTAATTAAAATAATATGCTTTCTCTTGGATATGTTTTGATCAAACTCTATATTAAGTTATCTTGTGCTTCTCAAAAACAATGAAAGCTAATGGAAAATGACCACCAATAAAGTGCCTTGTACTTACATTTAAATAGGGTTTTTTCTTTCCTTACTTTTATAAAAAATAGGCTCAGCAGTGTTGCTGAATTATTTATTTTATTTCTTAAAACATATTTTAATTGATTTCAGAGAGGAAGGGAGAGGGAGAGAGGGATAGAAACATCAATGATGAAAGTGAATCATTAATCAGTTGCCTTCTGCATGCACTGCGATTGAGGCCCCACCCCGGCATGTGCCCTGACTGGGAATTGAACTGTGACCTCCTGGTTCATAGGTTGATGCTCAACCACTGAGCCATGCTGGCCATGCATGTCTGAGCATTTTGAGTGTGGAGTGTTCTAGAAGAATACATCAATACTCCTTTCTCAAGTGGGATAGATGGGGCTACTCTAGACCATAAATTTAAGATGGCAAGTTGGGGGGTTGGGAATTACAGTGCATTACTTAAGGGAAAAGACAGGGCTTTGGAAGGTTAAAGTTTAATTAAAAGTTAGAATCGAAAGAGGTAAATGGAAGAAAGAATGAGAACATGAGACTCTACTCTGCTTGGCTAATGAGATGAACAGCTTCTGGAAATGCCCTGCATGGTAGTCTAGTTTCCGGAACAGGTGCCCTGGCTTTGTGTAGTGAGGGTTAGATTTGTGACCTTGAATCACTGAGTTATTTAGATGAGCCTACCAGACAAAGAAAGCCAACAGAACTCAGACTTTACAAGATTCACTGTGGGAAAATGAATGTATAAAAGGTTCTAGCAGAGTCCAACAATCTAATTAAAATAACATTTTTAACTTATACTGTAGATCACAAGATGTTAGTAGATGAAAATTAGCCTACTTGTATGTCATCTACCAGGCAAATGGGCAATGACAGAAAATAAGATATTTTTACCTTTACTTTTTTATAAATCAGTTGGTTTCAAATTGCAGAAGGAAAAAAGCAACAAAGAAGCAATTTCATTTTATTGCCTAGAATTCAATTAAAAATTTCAAGACATAAATTACTAGGTGTACCGGTTAATAATGCAGATTTTTTTTCAATAGAAGGAGTTACACATATCTTGATATATATGCAATTTGATATGTATGCTATTTTGTTGTATTGACAAGCTTCAAAACTTCGTATGCCAAACTTGCTGAAGATGTTAACATTATAGATATTTTTAAGCTTAAAAATGTCAAATTTCATGCCAAAAAAAGAGCAGTTGTGGGAAGTTATAATTCATTACTATATTTTGAAGAAAAGTGCTGCTGAATACTTCGGGAAGCTTATGGTGAACATGCTCCATCTCGAGAGATACTTGTGAATGCTGGTTTAAATGTGATGATTTTGATGTGAAAGACAAAGAATATCCAGGTCAACCGAAAAAGTTTGAAGGCCAACAATTACAAGCATTATTGGATGAAGATGCGTGTCAAACTCAAAACAACTTGCAGAAAGATAAAACGTTGCTCAGCAAACAATTCCCAATCGTTTACAAGCAATGGGAAAGACTTTAAAGGAAGGAAAATGGGTGGTGCATCAACTAAACGAAAGACAAATGGAAAACCGAAGTCATCAGTAAAAGGCTGCTTCAATGGCACGAAGAAGAGTCTTTTTTGCATTGAATTGTGACTGGCAATGAAAAGTGGATTTATTTTGAGAATCCTAAATACACAAAATCATGGGTCGATCCAGGTCAACCATCAACATGGACTGTAAGGCCAGATTGCTTCGGAAAGAAGACAATGCTCTCTGTTTGGTGGGATCAGGAAGGTGTGGTGTATTATAGGCTTCTAAAACCAGATGAAACCGTTAATACTGATCATTACCAACAATCCATTTGAACCATACTTTGATTGTGAAATGACCAGAATGTTCCAGAAGACACAGCAAAGTAATTTTGCTTCGTGATGATGCACCATCACACACTTCAAAACCAGTTAAAGGTAATGTGGGGAAAAGGACACACATGTAATAACTTAATCAATAAAGAAATTTTTTTAAAAAAAGAAAATTAAAA